TTGTGGAAAATGGGCTTGAGAAATGTCAGGGAGTACAACAAGGCGGTTTTTAGATCTTTCTTCAAAGAAACAATGGTGGCCTTGGCCACAGTGGGGATGGTGGGAAGAAGAGAGACCAGCAGATTTGGGAGATAGAGTTCAGAGTGATTGGTTGACACAGGCAGAGACAGGCCTAGTTTCTCTTAGGTTCAAGTAGTGACGGTGCCCCTTTTGGTTTAGGGGAGGTGATCCCACCTCCTGGGATGGAGAGCGCAGGAAGAGACATGGTTTGGCTGCAGGTAGGGACTTTCAGAGGTATGAGTGTGAGATGTCCGTGGAACAGCTGAGTGGCATGTCAGTCTGGAGCTCTAAGAAGTCTAGGTGGCTGGCACAGAATAAGGAGACCAAAGCACAGAGATGATGTTTGAACTCCTGAGAGTGGATGAGACAGTCCAGGGAGATAATAGGATGACCAGAGAAGGCAGCCCAGGGCAGGGCTAGGAGACATGCCAACGTATAAGGGACAGGAGAGGAAGAGGAGCCTGAGAAGTAGTCACACTGCTAGACATGCTCAAGCCACGGAAGCATGTGTCAAGGAGGGAGAAATCACTAGGTCTCAGATGCCCTGTAAGGTCAGGCCAAGTCAGGCCTGGATTTAGCAACACAATGGTCATTAGTGACGCAGACAAAAGCAGCTATTTTTTGCTGGTGAGGTACATTTGCAGCATTATTCCCTGATGTTCTGGATCAAAAGCAATGTTCTGGTCAAGAAGAGCCCCTGTCACCACTGTCTGGTCTTAGCAGTGACCCAAGTCTGGAAGGCCCTGGCTTGGTCCACAGAGGGGTAGCACAGTCCCTGGCTGTATGAGGTACAGCCCCTTCGGGTACTGAGGGAGAGTCATTCTGCCACAAGCTGAGGAGGACACATGGGAGTAGCTGGATCCTCAGGACTCATGGTGAAGTCGACCTGCAGTTGAGGACTTAGCAGTTGTTGTCCAGCCAGGCTAGGCTGCAAGCAGCGAAGGTGAGCGGCAGCAGGAGCCCAGAGAGACGCAGGGACAGGGAGGTGGCTGGGAACAAGGCTGGTGAAAGTCGCCAATGGGATTTCTAAGTCCCTGACCGTGAATGGCTTCTGTTGAATCTCCTAGAGATAGGGAGAGATTTTGAGCTGCAGCTCCTGAGATGAACAATTGAGTTGTATCATCTTGGAGTCTAGGGGAGGGGAAGGTAAGAAGAGGAGCAGAGACTCTGAATCTGACCTGGTTTTGAATCCGGGGGTGATTACTTACTAGGCAGGTAACCTTGGATGAGTGACTCGGAACCTCTCTGAGCCTCAGATGATTCATCTGTGAAATTCAGTTTGTGTGCCTGTGTCAAAATTATATTAATGTATGTGGAACCCTTGTCTTGGAGGAGACCTTAAACAGCCACTACTGCTGTCCTTCTGATCCTTTATGATCGTTGTCAGCACTGTGTTCATAAGCTGATCCTGGTGCCAGAGCACTTTCACCTGTTGTCACTGAAGTGGCAAGATGTAGAGCAAGTGGCTTCAGTAGTCAGCGCCCCACCCGAGGGTTATGTCAGCGGCCACCAGGCAGGGACACCGCTGGAAAGTGCCTGAACTGGCTGGGAGGCTGGCTGAGACAAGGTGGTTTTTAAGCCGCTGCTTTCAGTTCCATTTGTGTTTTAATTGGATGAAGCAGCTCTCATGTCCTCTCAGGTTCATTCCAAGGAGCATTTGTATTCATTTAAGTTTGTGGGCACTGAGCAAGGCAAGCCAGACATGGCCAGCCCCGGGGGCTCTGCTTCCCCGGCTCTTCAAGAACTTTCTGGGGTTACCTTAACCCCTGTAGGTGAGAACTTTTTCACATAAAAAAACTGTTTTAAAGAATTCTTTTATATGGAAGACAATTATTTTTTTTTTAAATATCAAATCGGTCCTAAATGTCCTGGCAGCAGATACTACAGAACGTTTGGATTTATATTTTCTCTTTCATAGAATAAAACCTTCAGTGCCACTGCCTCAAGAGTTCTGCAAGTTCACATTATGTAAATACATGTAGTAAAATATTTACTTAGGGTTTCCACACCAAAAAAAGGGTCCAAAGGAGAGAATAAGAGAGCTTCTCTTTGCTGGTCTTAGAGGCTCTGCTGGGAATTCTGAGTGAAATTTAAGCCTCTGAAATATGTTTTGATTGGCCTTCTTCATGTTTTATCTCCCGTAGTGAACTCTTTGTCAGTTTGTCAATTTTGACTAAGGACAGAAAGTTCATGTGTAGTAACAACACACAGACTGAATTTAAAATTATGGTTTATATCATGATGTAATAATCCTCTCCTTTCCCTTGGTCAATATTTACCTGTTAGGCCAATATATTATAATTCTGACTTCAAAAGAAGACACTTTATTTTACCTTCCCCAAGTGTTGGTTTTAGATACTTGTAATATCAAAATTGGAAGTTGAGCTGTCTGAGGCTCTTGGCCACATTCTCTTAGGGTTGAGTTCCTCGATCATTGCAGGGCAGGTGTCCTTGCTCCCAGTGACCCAACAGCACAGCTGTGTGGCTCTTAGAGTGAGGCTGCTGACCTCTGAGCCACACTCCTTTCTCTTTGCTTTCCAGATGGCCCTCTTCTCTGTGGGAAGTAGGTCTTTAATATTATCCCACTGCAGCCAAGATCTCCTAGATGGACTTCAGTTCCCCCAATGTGTTAACATTACAATAATAGGCAGAAAAACCCAATGAACGCCCTGTAGGAGGGTGGTCCTCGAGTGTGAGACAGATGAGGAATGGGGAATCTTAAATTCTGTTCTGTCCCTGAGCCCCTTCTTTTAACCACCCCATGCTTAAACAATTTTCCATTTGAAAAAAACTGAAGGAAGAGTGGTCCCCCAGAGAAGAAGGAATAGGGGGATAATAAATTGCTTCAAAAATCTGCAGATAAAATGTGTGACACTTTCAGGTTGATTATCTAGGCAGCCAGAAGCAAGTAATGATGTGCTCGGAAGCTCTTCTGAATCAACTTGGGTATCAGTCAGGACTCTTCCTGTGAGTCATAACTGAAAGGGAACTGATTGATTCATGAACTGCCAAGTCAATAGGTAGACTAGTTTCACATTCAGCTGGATCTTAGAATTCAAATGAGGCCATCATGACTCTCCCTTTATTTCCTAGACTCTTTATTTTCTATATTGGCATGATTATGTGGCATAGATGTTTCCTTGGCAGCTCCAGACTTATGATGGTCCTTACTGTCTGGGGTCCCAAAAGAGAAATTCTCTTTCCTGAAGTCACTATGAACAAGCATAAGGTGTAGTGGAATTACATCAAGCATATATTTAAAGATTTTATGTATTTATTTTAAAGAGAGAGGGAAAGCATGTGCAAGCAAGCAGGGGTGAGGGAGGAGCAGGGGAGAGGAAGAGGGAGAGAAAGGGGAAGATCCTAAAGCAGACTCCATGTGCTCAGTGCAGAGCCCAATGTAGGTCTCCATCTCATGACAAGATCATGACCCAAGCTGCAACCAAGAGTCAAATCCTCAACCAACTGAGCCACCCAGGCACCCCAAGCATATATTTAAATGTAAGCAAATTCGCCTTTGTGTTGATATCAGTATGCCTGTCTGCCCATAATGTACTCGTCATACTACACCCTTATTTTACATGTGTTATCTTTTTTGGATTCTGTCCATTTTCATATACGTATGTAAGTGTGTATAGTCACATATGGTGCATGTGAGAGATGATTCTTGGGATGTTCAACCTAACCATCCACTCAACCACACTTTAAGTGATTCCACCAGCCTACATCATCTGCCCGTCTCTCTGGTAGAACTGGTAGGCAGGACCTGTTGAAAAACAGCCCCACCAGGAAGGGACAGAGCAGTTTACAAGGGGAAAAAGGGGTCTTTTATCAGAAAAGACAGGACAACAGGCAAACAAACCAGCTGTTGATTGATTCATTCACTCAACAGGTATTTACTGAGTGCTCACTATTTGTCAGGCATTCTTCTAGGTACTGGGCTGAGACCAGTGAACTTTACACAAAAGATTCTTTGTCGGAGCTTACATTGTAGGAAGAGAGGCAGACAGTACATATGTAAGCCAGTAAAGATATGCTGTGGTGTCTGGCAGAGATGAGTGCTGAAGAAAAGACAATGGTAATCATCTTCATTGATAAATTGATTAGGTGCTTTGACCATGCAGGTAGAAGAAACAGGGGGCAGAGAATCTCCTCTTATTCTAAAATTCTCTTTGAATTGATCCTTAAAAGATAAGAAGGAATTTGATAGGCAGGTCCTGTTGAGATGATCCCAAACATAAGAAGAAAAATACATGAGCCAAGCAAACATCTCAGTGGGATGAGGTAAGGTCTGTTCTGGGAATGGAAAGAGGTGTCCCATGACAGCTGCGTGCAGAGATGTGGAAGGGGAAGGTGGAAGGCTGGCGAGGCAGGTTGGGGGACACCAAGGGAGGATGTGGCTTCCAGGCTAAGGAGTGCTATCACCAGGTCCATGGCTGAGAAGAGTCCAGGCCACAGTGCACAGGGCTAGGTGAGAAGGGGCAGAATCAAGGAAGGAAGGCCAGGTATAGGGCTCGACGTGAAGGCTGTGGTCAGAATGGACAGGAGGAACAGAGACTTCAGAAACAGAATCCGTGGGAATCAGAGATTCATTCATTTCTAGTGCCCTGAAAGGGCTTGTTCACCATCCCAAGTGAGCCTGCCTTTGCAAGTCAGCTGATGTTTAAAAACACAAGAGGCCTTTAGAAACAGGAGACATCTTGCGAAGATGGTTAATGTTGTTTCTGGAAGATAAAAATCTCACTGTTAGTGTATAGTGAGGAACATAACCATGCAAATCACGGGGGGGGGGCAGGTGGAGAGCCCTGCAAGACTGGAAACAGTGACCCACACCTCAGGTCCCATGGCCTCTGAGAGTGTGCACAGTCCTGGGAGTGATTCCTGGGGGGAATGACCCTGCCTTCCATCCCACACTGATCAACTTCCTTCTGCATTTACAGGCAACTTTGAAGTGGGGGTTCATATCGCGGATGTCAGTTACTTTGTTCCCGAGGGATCCCCTCTGGATAAAGTAGCTGCTGAGAGAGCTACAAGTGTCTACTTGGTTCAGAAGGTAAGTCTCCCGTTTCTTGGATTGAAAGGCATCCTATTTAGTCTGCCCCCTTTGTTTCTCTTTTCTTACCAAAAAAAAAAAAAAAAATCATGAGGAACAGCAATCTCATCTGAATATCTTTTCTCACATCCAGTGAAATCTTTTAAAAAAGGCTTTCTTTGAAAAAGTTATTTCCCCTCTGTGGTTGCATGTTTTTCTTATATATTTAAGATGAACCAAACTGAAAAAGATACCACAGCAAGACGCAGGGACCCATCTCAGGTTTCAGATTGGTCCTGCCACCTAAGTCACGCAGACAGGTGCTCATGTTCAGAAAGAAATGAGGAGAAGTGACTGCTTTCAAGCTATTGTTTCAAAGTGGGGCTTTGCAAAGTCAGCCCACACCAGCCACATTTTTTTTTTAATGTTTTTACAACACAGCCACATGCTGTAATGTGACACTGTAATGTCTACGACATTGTCACACTATGACAAGAGAATGGAATCAAATGCCTTTTGAGAAAAAGTTTCAGGCCCTTTTCTAATCTGCTTCTGACCTGCCCTTTACAAGATAATCTGGAACCTCAGAGATGGAAAAGCATTTCACCAAAGATGTACAGATGACAAATAAGCATGTGAAAAGATGTTCCACATCATATATTACCAGGGCAATGTAAATTAAAATAACAGTGTAATACTACCTAAAAAAAAGAACAACCCAGGAACAATTCAGTACCCATCCACTGTAGAGTGAACAAGTAAATCGTGGTAGATTTGCACAGTAGAACTCTATAGAGCAGTGAGAATGAACAGCTGCCTGACAATGAATGACAACTGCACACACAAACATGGTGGAAGAAACCAGGCACAGGTGCACCCACTGTAGGGGTCCATTTGTGTAAAGTTCAAAAATGGGCAAAGCTAATAGAAGTCTGGATAGTGGTGACCTTTGGAGAAACAGAGCCCAAATGATGAGGGGACTGCTAGCAGTAATTAGTACCCAGATCACTAATTACATGAGCTTTTACAAGAGTGAAAATGCACAAGCTTTTCCTTTATAACTTATGTACTTATACATGTATTATACTTTAATAAAAATGTTTTCATTTTGAAGCTTTTTGGGGGATGACTCTTAGTCCACTCTGGCTCCTTTTAGTGTAGGAACCCAGTCAAAGGAGCCACTCAAAGACCAGTTCCCTCACTCATAGGTTGGCTTTCCTGAGAACACAGCTCTGATATTTGTACATTGCTTACACTTAATATAACCTCATGTTGGAGACATCCCATCCATACCTCCTGCCCAAAAATGCAGTAGGCCAACTCTTGGCCTTTGCCTGGCCCAAGGCTTCTGACAACAGAGATCAGACTCCAAAATCCCTTATATCTACAGAACTGTAATGTTATGATGGAAAGAAACAGAAGTGGCAATCTCTTAGATTTTCAAGGCCACAGAAAGTGAATAAATGTGAATTGTTCTCCCCATGTAGAAAAATTTAACTCTGTCATTCAGATTCAAATAGTTAAGAATCCCAGACACAATTAGAGGTTCTTCTGCTAAGCAGGTGGCTTTCTCTTATCTAGATTTTGCATTCTCCTTTTATAACCAGGAATTCTCTTTCAAAATCAGAAAATGGAAAAATAAAATTGGGTTAAATAACAAAGAACATTTCCTTTCCTATTCTCTTTACTCTGGTTTCTTGATTGCCGCAGTTCTAGAATTTCCCTTCAGGACTGCAGAGTTGGGGCTCTGCTCCTGAGCTCTAAAAGTGCGGAGCTAGGTGGGGGAAGGGCCCATGTGCCCCTGAGTGGCTGTGGGCTCCCGCTGCCCGGCTCGGCCCCCAGCTTGGCTGGAGCAAATGGCGCCAGCCCACAACCTTGGACAGCAGAAGCTGTGCATTCTGGTTCCTTTGAACCACTGCTCTGACCTTTCTTCCTACTCATTTTTGTTTCTTAAATGACTGTGTCCAGGAACTTTTCTGCTGTTTTCACTTTTCTTTGCCTGTAAAGGTCTTCTTAAAAGCTGGATGAGCTGCTTTCCTCTTCCTCCAGATTCTCTGCTTTCTCATTTGGCAGAATCAGTTCTCCCAACTTAATCAGATGGGGGAAGGCATGCGTGTGTTGGGGGTGGGGGGCCGGGTGGTTCCCACCTATGGCGAATGCGGCCCCAATTTCTTTCCATCAAGCGCTGCTGGCTTATAAGTAACCGATACCAGAATTACAGTCTAAGCTTGATTTGGGGAATCATCCCATAGATCAAGACTATACAACAGATGTTGGGTCCAGATTCCATTTTACTTGTCTTTAAAATGAAATTCTTTTTGTTGGGATTTTACTTACAGTAATAAGTATTTGGTTATTCTCAGTAACAATGGAGTGTACTCAGGAGGAAAGATAAATTGAAATATTGCCCATTTAAGTCCCATGAAAGGATACGCTCTTTCTTTTTGACAAAAATTAGGCATCTGTTCATCTTGCCGACGGAGGCACCCAGGCACACTTTGGCATCTGTTCGTCAAAGGGACAAGTGTCTACCTGAGTTCAGGCCTGTCCTTCTCAGAAGGACATGAAATCTACCCAGTGAGTGTCTCTTGTCTTCCCTAAGAGGGAAATACAATGAAACTGTAAAATGTAAGGTCGTTTTTAAAAATAAGTGAATTAAGTTTTAAAAGTAAAAGAAACGCTAAACAGTTGAAACCTAAAGCTAAATTGTCTGCCTGTTGGCCCCAATTCTCATGTTATTTTAGGTGTGAAACAGCTCAAATGAAAGTTCGCCCATAAATCTCTATGATATTTTATTGGTACTGCTTTATAATAGAGATCAAAGATTGGGATTGGAAGCCTGTCTTAACGTGGAGTCCAAAGAGTTTTAAGATGTTCCTTTCTGACCCCAGCAGGTTGTCAGAGTGTTGATGTTTTGTTAATGTCCAACTGTGTAGCAAAGAGTTGATCAAATTCAGAATTCATGGAAGTGTTGATATGAAAAAGAAAACTCTTTAAACAGAGATGTTGGCTGGCAAATGAATTATCTCTTTCCTTTTAAGTTGTTTCAGTGTGCGAGTGGAGAGCTAGCAGTACCTTACTGTTAAAACCTCGAAGTCCTCAGAGAAAAGGAGAAAAACTGCCTAAGTTCTCAGGCTCTGACAGCCAATGGGCTCCAAGAGTGTGAGGGAGTTTGGGAGCCAGCGAAGGCCTGGGCTGGAAGGGGCAGAGGAGGTCCCTGCTGCCCCTCCCAGCTGGGTCACGGACATCTAGCTCCCCTGGGCTCTGGGAGCCCCCCTGTCACTGCCAGTCCCTCCTGATCCTCTTGGCGTGGATGGTCGATTCTTCCCCTCTGTGGCCCTTTCCGTTGGTCACAGGGCTGTCCTGGCTAACCCGTTGCTGAACTTGGCCAGCCTGCCCGCTGTGGCTTTAGCAGATGTTTCTGCTCTCTGAGGCTAATATAAGATTTTATAGTCTTGTTGGTACCCCCACCCAGCTGCCTTGGGCAGTGGCGTATTTACCTAAATGATCAGTTTCTCTCAGTTCTCCCAAGCCCTGGTCCAGAATGCTTAGAAAGTCGGTGTCCTGTCACCATGTCCCCCCCTTTTTTTTTTTCCATGACCAGCTTTTAAGCTGTATTCTGACCCAACTTTGATGCTGGCCTGAAACATACTTAAGGAGACCAAGCACCCTCTAAGTGCCTTTCCTTTCTTTCTCTGCTGCCTGAAGTGCTGCCTGTCTTCGTCTGCTTCGTAGTTGTCGAGGATCCGCTGTGTACCAGGTGGCAGGTGTGTAAAAGTGGGGGAGATGCTGATCTTGCCCTGGGGAAGCCAGAGAAGAAGGGTCATGTAACAAGCACAGTATGCTGGCCATGTGCAGGTACAGAAGGACTGCCAGAGTGAGGAAGTTATTAGGGAGGAGAGAGAAGGTATACCTGCCCGGGTTGGTAGTAGGAGAGGAGCTTCCACAAGAGCCAAAATGGCTTCACCAAGCTGTCGATTTTTTGAGCAATGTCTCAAATTTTGAGTTGAAAATTTCTAGGTAGACATGTGAGTGGAGAGGACATTCCAGGCAGCGGCTCGAAAAAGCATGGGATGCGCAAGGAGCAGGATGTAGTTTAGAATTGCTGGGGTAGAAATTGCAGGAGGAGCCAAAAGATGAAGCTATAACAAGAAGCCTGAAGTGGCAGGCTGAGGAGGATGGACTTCATCTTGAGGGCAATTAGGGCAGAAACATGGCCCTCTTTGTCTCAAGTAGAAAATCACCTCAGCAACCATGTGGTTGAAGAACAGTGAGGCCAGAGGGATAAAAACTATTATCCATACCAGGGCCCTTTCTCTCTTTCCCTCAGCCACGGCCCCTTGAGGCTTTGAATAATGACCCCAAAATACACAGGGATTTTTTTTGCTAACAGAATTGTAGGAGAGTTTATCAACTGGACCCCAGGAGAACTAGAGCAGTAGACGTCTTCAGCCTGGTATTAAAATGGACATCGTGAGCAAGGATGTCCACCTGCATTCCCTCCCTGTCTAGCACAGCAAAGAGTCGAGCTAGGCAAATAGGGGAAGTTGGCTTCCCCCTGTCATCTTTGCTTTCTCCTTGGAGACAGGGTCTGGATGCCCTCTGCCAGCTTCTTGTTGAGAGCTCTTGGCCACCATTGACCATTGACCACTGATCATGGAGGGTCCAGACTTCCCCGGAAACCATGCCACCCCATCCAAGGTATTTGGACCTTCCCTCATGAGCAGGACAAGCAAAGAATAAAATTACCAAATTCAGTTCATCAGCTATTGAAAAGATAAAGGCCATGTGTCCTACTATAAGTGAGATTGCAAATTATCATGGGGCAGAATAGAGTAAGACGTTGCAGAAGTCTGAAGAATAATAAGGAACTCTGCTCCAGAATAATTTCTACTCCAGATCTCGGCTGCTGGCTTAGGAGACTTTTAGAATATAACCCAAGAGAGATGAATATGTCCATACTTAAAAATGGAGAGGAAAGAAGACTCATTTGAGAGATATTTAGATGTAAAACCTACAGG